TGCCCCCCCAATGTTAATCCACTTGTCACCTTTTGGGATTAACAAATCGCAAACAACTAAACTTTAATATGTTTTGGCAAGGTGTTTATCACTCAATGAAACACAAGCACTCGTTTATCTTTATAGAATTTTATATACTCTATAGCTATAGACTAGTTTAATAACTAAGCCAGCAAAGCACAAAAATAGAATTAGTAAGAAAATGTCTAAGCCAAAACGCAAACACAATAGAAATGTCACCGCTGAGGAGGGCGCTGGAGAAAGTGAAATCGATAAAAAAAAGCTTCTTGATGATATGAGAGCTCTAGGGTAATTATTAATGTATATAAGTATGTTATTTGTTTATCAAATCTCAAAGCTAGTGTTGCTGACCGGCAGAAAAGGGGCAAGCAGCCCAGGAAAATTAGATATATCCATTATTGCCAATGGGTGCATGCTTTGCTGGTGAGTTTTAGGAATGCAGTTTCAGCTATGCATGACAAGGCTTATTTATGCAAGATAGTTTTCACCACAATTAAACTTTGGAACAGTCTACCACTAAACTTAAGACAGCATTTGAATGTCCATATTTTTAAGAATAAATATGTAAAAATTTTACATGCACACCAACAATCTCTTAGCCATTTGTAATTGTATTCATATATGCCAAACCATATTTTTAAAGTAAATTTGTAAATATAGATATATACTGCATTGATAGTTTAATTTGCAGGGCGCGAAATAACGGCCGGTCAACGGACAATGTCCGGCCAGAATGCGAAATTGTCTGGTCAAATCTTACCTTGCCGGTCATTTTGACTGGTTACTTTCGGTAAAAGAACAAACTAATCTTCATTTTATAATAATAGTCAAAATAAAGTGGTCAAGTACAGTATTTTATTATATAAAGCATAGTACTTTATAGAGATTTCGAGCACTAATAAAAGTGATAATCTCACATGTGAGATTATTCATGATAATCTCACATGCGAAAATTATCGCTTTTCAATTATCGCTTTTCTGTAAAAATTATCTATTAATAATAGACAGAAAAATACATGGGTGCTTGGAAATACCAGATTTATTTCTCATGTTGAACATGATATCTCGCTCGTTCGCTGCGCTCACTCGTGTGATATCATGTCCAACACTCGAAATAAATCTTGTATTTCCGCACACCCATGTATTATTCTCTATATAATTAAGAACCATAACGTACATGTTGTCGAATATTTTGCAGGAAAACAACTTCAATGTACACCAGTTTTCGCACGCAGTACGGTCACAAAGCCCATGGGCCATGGCCATGCCTTTGGCTTAAGAGCTAAGACCATGCTTTTAGCCCAGTACAAGCTGTTCTATGTGAAGGAATTTTTAATTACTGATTACAGTAAGGCTTTTTGTACTGCTATACTGGGAAAATGGTCACATTTTTAGGGGTATACTTTACTAGGCTTTGCTTTAAGCTAAATAATTTGACCGGCCAGAAATTCAGTATATCCGAGCTAAAATTGAGTTGGCCGGTCACCTTGACCGCCGACCCTCCAGCCGTTATTTCGCGCCCTGATTTGTGTACTTGTTTTATAGAAATTGTTGTATTATTGAAATTGAGGGCTACAAGTTTATTATTGCTTTTGTACTATTACGTACTACCCTCTTGAAATAAAGACTCTAACTAATTTCTCTGGGAAAGTGTCACAAAGACTGTGTGGATGAGAAATTCTAAATGCTAAACCATAGTATAAAAACACCCGAAAAAAACTTTCTGTTCCGAGAGTTTGTGTAAATAACATTTCAATGACATGCCCACTGGCTTCGCTACTATGCTTCTGGCATCCCAGGCTCAAAAACCCACAAAAGTTTACATTTATGGCGCTACTCACAAGCTACAATATGACATTAATAGGTTTAGCCCGCTATGAATAGAGCGAGTACTTTTTGATATATAACAGTATAACAAAGCAGTTGTATCTTTATGAAACTTGTCAGTAGACTGTAGATATGGAACACAATATTTATACCATATAAATTCTATGGTTTATAATAAATTCAATTTATAGCTTATATTATTTATAGCTTATATTATGTCCCTTTTGCAGAAAAAGGACATTGGACCAGAGGAAGATGATGTGCAATTTGCTTTCCCTGCTCAATTGCGGATATTTTTAGATATATCACACTGGGAGACGTGAAAGGTGAAATCCGGGAGGTAAAAATTCTAACATTTATTTATTTACTAATTCGTCCAAATTACATAATATAAATCAAAAATAGAAGTATTTACAATAATAGGGCTAGGAACCTTCTAGAAACCATAAGGCTTTTTAATTAAGATCCCTAGTTACAATTTTAAATTAAATTAATATTATAATAGATTACCAGTTCAAATATTTTTAGATAAAGTAAGGATATATATATATATATATAAATAAATAAATAAATTAAGGTACAACAATCAACAAAATCCACTAGGCATCTTTATTACTAAATAGTTTCGTACCACAAAATGTGGCACTCTTCAGATAAATTGACCTAATGACGATAGACTAAAAGTTACAAGGTTATATATGTATACAAGTGGATGAGACTTTAAAAAACTTAATCCTATTTACAAACCACGCGATTTAATTAACATGTTATGTGATAAGCTGACAGGACGCAGAAAGATTAACACACCGCGGTATATTTAAATGTCTAGCTTTTTAAATGTTACTTAAAAGGAATTTTTTATTATGCCTACATGCAGACACTAATTCATTTCGTTTGTTTAAAGTGGCCATTTTTGGCTTACAAATAATAAAGTATTTCTCCCATAAACACAAATTACACCGATTTGAAGCACAGTTATAAGGCTTAGCTCGCTTCAATAGTTTCCATTTGATTGTATAATTGATGTTTTTGTTTTTCAATTCCCACACGTATTTGCTTAGTTCGGTAGCGTTCCGTTTGTTGAAAGAGTTGAATGATGCTTTATGGTTTGCAAGTCTAGTTTTAAACGAGTTTTCTGTAAGTCCGACATATGTTTGGGGAGGTCTATTTGTTGTTTTGTCCTTAGTAGTGACTGTGGCTTGATATACAACCGATTCAGTGGTACATTTGTTAGATAGTGGGCACAGTTCTTTATTGCTTTTAGGGCAACTACACATGTTAAGACCACTAGTGCTGGAAATTGTAGCCAACGTAGATTTGTTGTGTCCATCGATAGTCTGCTTGATGTTTGGCATACAGCTGTAGCTAATCTTGACTGTATTACGGTTGAATATCTTGTGTAGTGGGTGATCTGCGGGGAATTCCTCGTCAATTATTTTCAAGAAGGTTTGTCCAACATTAGTCGAAACATTCTTACTATATGGTGGGTTATACCATATAATTTTTCTTTTACGGCTTCGGGTACTCTTGTTATTCGATTGGTTTAGGGGGTGTTTAAACAGTAGTTTGTGGGTATAACCACTTTTGTCAAGGGCTTGCTGATATGACGGGGAGGCTTGTTCGAATGAATCTTGATCAGAGGATATCTCGGTTAGTCGTTTGTTAATGGATAATGGAATATTACGCAGAACACTGGGTGGGTGGTTAGACTTGCTATGCACGTAAAGAGGTGTGTTATTAGGCTTAGAATATGGGTGATATTTACCGGTGGTTAGATTTAGTGTGACGTCAAGGAAATTTACGATTTTCTTGTTAGCCTCGATAGTAATTTTCAAACCATGGTTGTTGAATAAGGCGCACAGATCCTTCTTAATTAGTTCTATTTGGCGTGGTGTTGCTTTGATAATGCCCAAGCCGTCGTCTCTATATAAACCAAACTTATTACCGTGCTTCATCGTAATAAGGTGTAGTAGGTAAGATCCGACCAATTCACATGATTCGGCACCATCAAAACTACCCATAGTGACATCGAATAGATTTGATGATGATTTCTTTCCCCAGTGCTTGCCCGAGTTGTACAAGCACGATTTCTTCGCATGTAGAATGATTTCTCTTTCTGTATCTGTGATGTTATCATACTTTGACGCAAAATCTAGCGCAGCCTTTAGAAGATCAATTGAGATGGATGGATAGAAGTCAACAACATCAAATGCAATAAATGAGTACTGGCTCTTATCAGTAACTTTATTAAACCAGGACAACACAGATTTAGTGTTTTTCAACTGGTTTATGCGCGTTGCTTCAATGACTTTCGTATTAATTCTATCCAGGATTTGTTTGCTAACTCTTCCAATTTCAGATTTGCTCGGGTTGATAAGGCGGCAAGTCGGGTTGTTTTCAAAATTAGTTGTGATCTTTCAACGTAACAAATGCTTCTCTCTGTGCTGCGGTGTTGATTCTATCAGCAAGGTTTAATTTTTGAGCGATGGATTTAGCTTCGTTTTCAATGTTGCAAACTGTCTCGGCCGGAATTGTCTTATAGGTTTTCGTAACGTTCTTATGAAGAAGATCATTATAACATTTAGGGTCCATTTTATAGAAGTTGGTGGTTTTATCTGCAGGAACAAATAGCATGTTTGACCTATTTATCTTGTTAACATCATTGAATAACTCTTTCTGAAATTTACACTTTGTATCTTTAAACTTAACGTTCTGAATCATTTTTAACATTCTATTTTCAAAACTCGTAAGTTCTGGAACTTGTGATGGGGTCGCTTTTGAATTAAATCCATAGGTATAGTGACCCTTCGCCTGCTGTAGAATGAACTAACCTTTATTACTAAACTAACGACTATTTACATGCAACTATATTGGATACTAATTAGAATATTACTAAGGTAACATGGAATATTAATGAGGACATTACATCCCTCCTTGTCACTAGTTAAAAAGTATCTTTTCTTTAATTTAAAGTAAACCTAATAATGCCTAGAAGTTTTAAATATTTCTCTCAAGATTGTCCACATATCTTAAGTTCAAACTAATATCTACGGTAGAATATTTTTTTTTGTCTTTTCCTCGATCTTTGATTGTTCAAATAAATTGTCTAAATCATCTATGTTATTATTGTTATCTAGTTATAATTTATATACTTATCTATCATCAAACATCCTTAATTCGACTTCCTTCGACTTCTGTTCAGCGTCTCTTCTTTCCATCTTTCTTTGTATATCATCATATATAACTCTTGGGAGGTCTGGTTCAGGTAAGGTCGTCTTGAGTTTCCTCTGGTTGAGGGCTTCACATGGTGAGATGTTTGTGGTGGAGTGGGGTGTAGCACGGTATTGCCGAAGGAATTTGTACAGATCTTGTTTCCAATTCCTCGCTTCAACAGTAGCAGTGCGTATGGACTTTCCGAGAGTTCTCATAAAGCGCTCAGCTTCCCCGTTAGCTTTTGGCCAATATGGTGTAATCCGACGATGTTGGAAACCCAGATGCTCTGCGAATTTCTTGAATTCGAGACTAGTAAACGGAGGACCATTGTCGCTTTTTAAGACATCAGGAATTCCTTGTCTGGAAAAGATTGCGTCCAACTTCGGTATCACTGCTCTAGCTGATGTGGAAGTCAAGATTTCAACCTCTGGAAAACGACTGTATTCGTCGATAACCACCATGATATATTCACCCGAAGGATAAGGTCCGGCAAAATCGATGCACACTTCTTTCCAAAGACCACTGGGCAATGGGGTCATCTTCAGAGGTTCTGAGCGTTTTGAGCTTTCGGGCGTTGAAACTTGGCAAGGATGACAATTTCTTATCTTCTCTTCTGTAAGCTTGTCTATGCCAGGAAACCAGACTTTCTCCCTTAACAATCTTTTTGTTTTCACGACACCTTGATGCCCAATGTGTGCTAGATCCACAGCTTTATTTCTCAGCGTTGGTGGTATCACAAGGCGATTTCCCCTCAGGATTGTACCTTTATGAACTGTTAATTCTTGTTTGATCTTCGTGTACTCCTGAACTTCGGGGGTTGACCAGTTATCGGTTTCAATTGCCTTTATCACGGCTTGCATTGTTGGATCTTTCTGAGTTTCAACTTCTACATCGTCGATAGTCATGGCTTTTGGAACTGCATTGATACAAACATAGTTGGTGTATGCCTCTGCTACGTTCTGCTCTTGGACTTCCGAGGCATTCGGGTGACGACTTATAAAATCCGCTAGATTTTCTTCGTTTCTTCCAGGCCGGTAGAACAACTGACAATCATAAGGCATAAGTCTCAACTTCCATCGATCGATGCGGGTCGATGTGGATTTACTGCTCTTGAAAATACCAAGTAAGGGTTTGTGATCGGTGATGATGTGGAACTTTGAACCGTAAACGTATAGGTGGAAATGTTCAGCAGCCCAAACTACAGCTAGCATCTCTCTTTCTGTTTGAGAATATCTTGCTTCGACTTCACTAAGAGTGCGGCTTGCGTAGCTAACAACGTTTCCTTCTTGCATCAGTAGACCACCAAGTCCTACTGGGCTTGCATCAACAACGATTTCCGTCTTCTTTCTTGGATCAAAATACGTCATCACTTTATCTCCAGCAAGCGCTTCTTTCAAATTGTCGAGAGCCGTCTGTTCTTCCTCGGTCCATTTCCAGTCAACACCTTGCTTAGTGAGGCTTCGTAGTGGGGCTGTTATCTTGGCATAATCGGGGATAAATCTGGACACATACTGCGCCATTCCTAGGAGTGACTTCACTTCACTTGAACACTCAGGTGGATTCATAGCTTTGATGGCATCGATCTTCTTGGGATCTGGTTTAATTCCCTCCGCGGAGAAGATATGACCATAGAACATAATCGTCGACTGTGAGAATGAACATTTTTCTTCTTTTAGACGAATGTTATACTGCTTCAATCTTTCGAGAACTCCACGTAGGTTTGTATCGTGCTCTTTCTGACCTCTACCAAAGACAATAATGTCATCTGATATATTCTTGCATCCTGGTAAGCCGGCTAGGATTTCTTCGATAGCGTTCTGAAATATTTCAGCTGCTGCATTAATTCCAAATAAAAGACGATTATATCTTCTAAGCCCAACGTGGGTGGAAAAAGTGGTAATGTTCCGACTTTCCGGAGATAATTCAAATTGATGATATCCAGACGAGAGATCCAGCTTACTAAATACCGTAGCACCATTAAGATCAGTGATGAGATCGTCCACAGTAGGCATCAGATGCTTCTCTCTTTTCACCGCCTGATTAGCTTCACGCATATCAACGCAAATTCTCACTTCTCCCGAATCTTTTGGCACGACCACGATAGGACTTACCCAGGGAGTGGGACCATCCACTTTCTCTATTATATCTAACTTCTCTAACCGTTCAAGTTCTTTCTCTACATCTTTTCGTACGTGGAAAGGTATTCTACGATGAGGTTGTTGTTTCGGTTTCACTTGGGGATCTATATGCAATTTAATCAACCGTCCTTTTACTTTCCCAATTCCTCCAAACAAACACTTGTAGTCTTGTCGTAGACATTCAGGGTATGGAACATCGACTGCATTCACAGATACTTGAAAGAGATTCAATTTCTTGGCTGTGACAAAGCTAAGTAGATTTCCAAAACTTCCTTTAACGACATGTAGCTTGGCAACTGTTGACATATCTGGTGTTTTGATCGTAGCGATAAACGTCCCGAGTACTGGTAGGGGTACTGACGAACCATAGGAGTAGATGTGGCGCTCTGCCTTTTCCAATCTTCGTTCTCCATGTCGATTTATTTTCCTGTAGGTTGTTTCATCTATCAGGTTGACCGATGCTCCAGTATCGATCATTATGTTGAGTCGTTGTCCTTCTATTTCAATTAGACAGATAGGTGGGCCATTTGGTGACTTGTTAACCGTGTAGACATATTCGTACTCGTCAGCTTCGTCATCGTTTGGTCGGTTTTTATCAAGGGATTGTGCGACAGCATTCACAGGTTTCGACTTCGGTGGATTCGTACGACATACGCGTGCAAAATGTCCACGTTTTCCGCATGCTCTACAATCTTTATCCTTCGCTGGACAAACTTGTTTATGGGGAAAATGTCCACCGCAATTTCTACAGGTTTGATGTGGCTCTTTACTTTGTTTAGAAGTATGAATATTCTTTTTGCTAAAATGAGTGGGTGGTTTATCCTCACGCGATGAATAATTTCGTCTCATTTGATAGCTTCTGTTTCTGCCACGCACCGAATTTATTGCTTGATCTCTTCCTTCGAGATGTCTTGCTTGACTTTCGCTGATTTCTAACGATCTTCCAACTTTTAATAACTTGTCCAAGCTGTATTCATCCTGAAGTGCTCGCCTACGCAGCGTGTTCGAAGTGCAGCTAAGAATAATGTGTTCTTTCATCTCTTTGTCTATGTCCGTAAAATCGCAAGTCTTAGCGAGTTGACGAAGTCTAACGTGATAACTATCGAGTGATTCTCCTTGATTTTGTCTTGCTTGTCTAAAATTATAGACTTCGTACGCGATATTCGTTTGTGGAGCGAAGTATTTGGTGAGTTTTCCTACGGCAGCTTCATAGTCTGTGTCGGCTTCGCCTTCGGGGTCTTCAAGCGTGTCAAAAATTTCGTCGACTTCTGGGCCAGCAAAGTGTAGCATGAGTGCTTTTTTTTTGTTTCTTATCTGTAATGTTCATCGCTGTTAACAGTCGTTCTAAACGAGTTACCCATCTCTTCCATCTTGGTCCGGTATTGCCGTCCAAATGAACTTCAAAAGTAGGGAAATTCGGCAGCGAAACAGCCATTCACTTAATGTATTCTAGCCTGAAGCTAAATACCAATTAAAGTTATCGTTTGGCTTCGTAACGTTTGCTGTTTGCTTCTTGAACATCAACAGTATGTATTCTTTTTTTATATATATATATATATCTTATAGTTTACTAGATTTACAATCCTCGTCGCCAGATATAGTGACCCTTCGCCTGCTGTAGAAGAACTAACCTTTATTACTAAACTAACGACTATTTACATGCAACTATATTGGATACTAATTAGAATATTACTAAGGTAACATGGAATATTAATGAGGACATTACAATAGGTTTCTTTGGTCTTGTGTTCATTTTGAGGGTTTAGATAGAAATGTGCTTTCCATCTCATCCGCTTGCACAGCTGTTCGGTTTTCTCAATCAGCTTCTTGCTATAGTCTTTTTTGTCTAGCCGCGTCCTGTCAGCTTATCACATAACATGTTAATTAAATCGCGTGGTTTGTAAATAGGATTAAGTTTTTTAAAGTCTCATCCACTTGTATACATATATAACCTTGTAACTTTTAATCTATAGTCATTAGGTCAATTTATCTGAAGAGTGCCACATTTTGTGGTACGAAACTATTTAGTAATAAAGATGCCTAGTGGATTTTGTTGATTGTTGTACCTTAATTTATATATATATATATATATATATATATATATATATATATATATATATATATATATATATATATATTCAGCTAATTCAAAAAAGGTTGTCCTTTGCAAACCTTAAACTCTAAACCTTAAACGTTAAACTCTAAGCGCGCAAAGCATAATGGGAGTACTGATTTCAAGCTTTGTAGTTGAATATTGCAGCAGTTTGTGAGTAAAATGTTTTCGCAGGCACATATTTACCATATATATATTCTTGATAAGAATAGTTTCTCTTGTTTTTCTTATTTTGAGCAAAATATTGCTTAATAAAATAATAATTTTGCAAGAATTTTTTTCTAAGTAAAAATTCTCAATTTTGCTGTGTATATTCCTTACGGAATTGTCTGATCCTGCAGGTGCATTGACAAATCAAAATTCGTGTTACGAAAGTCCGACTGCTGTGATTTTTAAGCATTAATATCAATATACTCATCTAGAAGGCCAAATGGGAAGCCGCCCTCTTCAAAACGTCCGCAAGCGCGGGCCGATAACGAATCGTACGGGTGGTAATTACGTAACTATCTTCTGCCCTGCATATATGATTGGTCAATCGTTCCTCTCATGATTGTTTTCGACCAATTAATATTCAGAATTTTCAACGTGGCACAGAAACCATTTGAGTGCTCTAAGGCTAGGGTCAAACGTCGAACTTTTCATGGGCCGAGCCTAATGTTAATGAGCTAAGTTCTTTGTTTCACTTCGTTTGCATTAGGTGCGGCGCATGAAAAGTTCCACGTTTTACCCTGGCCTAACTGCTCTCGGGCTTTCACTGTGTCTTCAACTTTCAAGAGACGAAAGTTGTGAAATTAAATATGGCTAGCTCTAGCGCGAATTCAACAGACGAAAATATAAATGTTTTATGCCAGAGCTCTGACCTTGATAAGGAAGCTCTTGCGAGATTGAGAAAAAGGCTAAAACAAAAAACACAACAAAAGCAGTTTATATGTTATATATTTTAATTCATTGTTAACCGTTCTTCCTTATTGTTAAAAGCATCCATTTTCTACATTGCATATTGTGTTGGTGTTATGTTACATATTTATAGTTTGATTTATATATTGATAATAATGTTAATAACATGAGTTTTGTGGGGTTATATTAAAAATAAACAATATATATGTCCTCCAAAACTCATGTTATTCCCTTATTCTAAAACGGCACGTGAATTGGTATAAGCATGATTAGTCTATAGAATTTAAAAATTAAATTTATTTTTTCATTGTGAGACCTTGTCCATGATTCCATAGAACTGTAGCTTCTGAAATATTTTTGCAACGGTTGAAAAAATCGCTATTTGCTGACAACTGGCACAATGCAAGTTAATTAAGGAATTAAGTTCCATTTCGGTGTGGGTCCACTTGGAAAGGGATTATTTTGAGAGTGTATAATTTAATATATAGTAAATACAAAACAATTATCGAATATTTTAATCCATGTAAGATAAATAAAAATATGACCAGTCGCGGCCATCAATGACAATGTGGCACTGGCAGATACCTGCTTTGTTGCGACTTCCTCTACCCCAGCTATAACAAATTAAACCTGTCCCTTGCTAAGAGAGCTTTCGCTATGTCAAAACAATTCATAAATTTTCATATTGTCGTACTTTGGAGTTTAGTTTCGATATTTTTAAATGTAAAACTAACTTGTGGAGATGGCAGCCAGCCGTTGAGTACGAAGGACTTTTACAAACAGATATATAGCAACGTTTGTCCGTCGGGAGAATTGTCATGTCTACGAGAAGTTATGACAAGCTCATTTCAACTGTCGTTGCCGAGAAACATAGGAGAAAAGGTAGGCCCAAGGGTATTGCTAACAAATGTTATAGTTGCAAAATGCTGTTAATTAATTTTAAAATATGCCTACATGTATCAGAATTGCTCATTTGAACGAGCGCAATTGCGGTATATATATAAGCGGACTGGCAGGTTGGCGGACTCACGGACGAGGACTTGTATACAGGAATAACACTGACGCGACATTTTGCACTGAATGGAAATCCGCCTTTACATTGGCACGGGCTGGATGAGATTATTCCGCAGATGGTATTTATTATTATTATTATTATTATTATTATTATTATTATACGTACCATACTACCCCCCCCCCCAGTTCAGGCTCTAGCTCAAAGCAGTCATCCTTTTTCGCCATCGCTATAGACGTTTTACAATCTTCGGCGCGCTTTGCTTATCTATCGGAAATCACCATTTATTATGCTCTAAGAATTGCCAAATGTTTTGGTGATAATTAAACTATCCTACTAATTTTTGCATTGGAACATGTGCGGGAAAATAAGTGCGCCCGCAGTATATTAGCCAGAGGAGACAAATTACCTAACTCTTATCATCTAGCGCAATACACAGGCAATAAAAAGCTCGTCCAAATTTTGCTGTGATTAATTTCGTTTCATGTTAAAAAGAAGGAAGCTTTCGGGGAGAAGAGAAATCTGAGATAAGAATTTAGAAGCTAAGCAAAGTCGAGTAGTTACATATATATATTGTAAATATTGTAATTTACTAATAATTTAAGGATGTCTCATCAGAGAATGTTAACATCAGACAGCTCGGAAAGTCGGGCTAGAAAGTATTCTGGAGACAAGTCTTGCGAATATGAATGTCATGTTTGTAACAAACGATTTTCGCGTTCATGGCACCTTGCAGAACATCGAACAACACACACTGGGGAGAAACCGTATAAATGCGACGTCTGCGACAAAAGTTTCTCCAAATCATGGACCTTAGTAAATCACAAAAGAATACATACGGGAGAAAGGCCTTACAAATGTGATGTTTGCATGAAAACGTTCACTCGATCAAGTATCTTATCAAATCACAAAAAAATACACACCGGCGAAAAACGCCATGGTTGTGATGTTTGTACGAAACGTTTTATAAACAAGGGCAATTTAGCAAGGCATAAAAGAACACATACTGGGGAGAAGCTCTTCGAATGTGATGTCTGTGGTAAACGATTTTCCGATAAAAGAGACTTATCAAGACATAAAAGAATACATAGCGGGGAGAAACCGCATGAATGCGATGCGTCCAAGGAGGGATCTTGTTTTCGAGGGAATTCCAATCAACACAACAAGAAGCATTTGTTTTGCAAAAGTTGCAACAGGGAGATCATTCGGCCACAAGATTTGAAAGAAGATTTTGTTGAAGATAAGTACAATGGGAAGTACGTTTGCGGGAAATGTAACAAACAGTTTGCTGATTTCGATAAATTGATAAAGCATGTCGCAAGGCAACATGGCAATGATGGCAAGTATCAATGTGGTTTTTGTCAAGAACTTGAATCAACAGAACCAACTGGCATTGGATATGTTTGTTGTGTCTGTGATGCTGTGTTTGATATTCCCAGGAAACTCGAAGATCACATGGTAACTCACAACATGATGCAGGAAGACTGATTTTTTTATTTTAAGGATATAGTTTTATATGAGGTAGCTTTTCATGGGTTTTTATTTTACGGATATAGTTTCAAAGAGCAGTGCAGTTTTATGCATGTCGACCAACATTTCATCTTACCAACTTCCTTATATACTTTAGTTTAACTTTTCTAACAAACATTTACATTTAAACTGATGTATTGGTTTGATTGTCATCCATTGATCTGATTTTACTGATTCATAAGTGTCACTTAGGTATCAAATTATCAACAATTTGAGTCAAATATAGCATTGACCATCTTCCTCTGGGACGCTTTCGGGCATTTTCAACTGTTCTATGTCCAGGATTTGGGCATGGTACTTATAAAATTGACGTCCGATCCGTTCGGCAACCTGTCAAAGAGGCAGGCATTTATGGGGAATAAAAAGCGTTTTTAATGTCAGTAACAGATAAGATATGCTGCGGAATCACATTATCATAGATTAAACTAAGGCCAGCTCAGCCCCCTCTGAATATGGTACATATTAAGCCTGGTTCACATTGATCGGCGATGTTCTACGATCCATTGTCTGTGAGCAACGAAGAAGAAAATGCACAAAACATTATATGCATCAATGACCACCGACAATGGACATCGCCGATTTAAGCCTGGTTCACACTGGTCGTAATTTATCAGCGATCTATTGTATTCTTTTCCGATGGACAAAGCATTTTACACACCAATGACCACAGACAATGGAAATCCCCGATTCTTACCACCAGTGTGAACCAGGCATTACGATCAATGTGAACCAGGCTTAAGAATAATTAAACTGTAAACGCATCAAATTTGCCAAAAATGTAGAATTTTGCATTAAATCTGAGTGCAAAGATCCTTCACATTACAACATTATGACCATGCAGAGAGATCTGAACATTTTTATATATCTATTAATATTTGTATATGGATCTACAATAACGTGCCTGCTGTCAGCGTGCCTTGGGGCTGGGCATTTGTCATCAGTTTTAGGTCAGTGTGAAGATATTTTCATAGCTACTGTAAAGCCCAGGGGAATTGCATGCTTAAAGAGAATAAAGTGAAAATCCCTGGGGCTATCCCAGGGGCGTGTGGGGCAGTGTTAAAATTGATTGATGATTCTGGCAATTTACATTTCTAATTTTAGCAGTCGTTTTTTAAATTTGTCATCTGTTTTGTTTTGTATACACTGTAAAATACTTTTGTACATTATAAATGAAACTTATTTAGCGTTTATTGTATACGATGTAAATCTTTTGAATGGATAAAACGCTGACTTTTTTCTGTGCTCAATATAGTTGGAGGCGTGAACATAAATGGTCGTATTTGTATTGCGTTGCATTGCATTGTATCGCATCGTATCGCATCACATCGCATTGTTCAAGATCATAGTTAAGGCCTAGTTTATACGTCGAATTTCAGTGGAATTTAATTCGTCGAATTGAATGTGACAATTATGCGACGGAAATTCGACCAAAGTGTTGCGTGCAATTTAGACGCCGAATTTTGGTCGGAAAATCAAAACATGCGGGTGTTGCAGGCTTTTAGATGGACAGATGAAGGCCTATAAAATAAGTATGGTGGCGTTCACCAAAGCAATTATCTTGAAACAAATCCTGAAAATCAAATTCTTCGGCTATGCTTGGCACTGCTTTTCAATTTTTGTGAAGCGAAAATGCCCCGAATATGAATTGGTTCATGTTGTCGACTGGAAAAATCAGTACAGTGGAGTTATTGGAGTTGAACTATGCGGCCGTAGTCAAAATATTCTGAAAAGCGTTTAAAGAATACTTTTCGCGTGTCACGAGAAATCTTCCCAACCATTCTTCACAAGACTGGAAACCAGTTGGAGAAAAAAATTACAACAGAACTGCCAGTTTCTTTTTTGCTTCTTTTTTTTCTTTCAGTTTTTTTTCCTCTTATAGAGTTCATAAAATTGAGGTTAGTGAAGTGATGGTTTCACTTTTATGGCAGGATTATATGTCTGATTATTTTCCATTGACGGAAGAACATACATCATGAAAGAGAAAATCATTGTTATGATTTTCAATATGGCGGACAAACAACATCAATGTTCTAATTGCAAAAAAACCATAGGCGTACGAGACAGGGGGCAGGACCCCCCCCCCCCTCCCCCAATTTTGGAAAACCATGGAAATTCGGGCAAATGCTCGGAAAAATCAAGAAAATTCGGGCAGATATATTTATCAGAAAATAGGTTAAATTCAGGTAATTTCAATACAATCCTCCATAAAAATTGGGGCAAACTTTCAACTGCCCCATAGAAAACATCAGCCCCGTACACCCATGGAAAAATCCACTAAATAGATCGTTGTATTACATGTAAAACGTACGTTTGCAACCGTACATCATATGTTCTATGGCTACAACAGACGAAGAAATTGAGGGATGGATTCCAAATGTAAGCGTTCCTTACAAAAATTACTGCCCAGAAATATCTTCCACACTTCGTGGAGTCCACGAAGTGTGCTGTTATTGATTTTAGGGTACAGTTGTGGATAACAATCTAATTTAAATAATTTATTCATTTTATTAAATGCGACGGAAATTCGACGTATAAATCAGTGTCGCGTTTCGGTCGCATTACACGACTGATCCTGTCGCAAAATTCGACAGCGTCGCATTTAATGCATCCCGTCGGATTTAATCAATTTATACGTCGAATTTTCGTCGGATATCATGACATGACTGAAATTCGACGGATTAAATTCGACTGAAATTCGACGTATAAACCAGGCCTAAGGTATGATGGTGTGGAATCCCGGCAAACTTCAAAGGCACAAAATAGACACAATAACCTTTGTTTGATTTTGATCTGTAACTCACCGTGCACAAATTATTTGTCTCCACTTCATTAAATATTATTCATCGTGGCCGCACGTTTCATCTTAGCTATCTCTACTAGACTGTTACTATAAGGCCGCGTTTAAACTGTGCCGGATTCGCTGATCACGACATCACTTTCAACAGTCAATGAAGTAGCCTAAACATATCTAAAGGTAGCAACTAGGAAAAACATAAGGAAGTTATCGAAAGAGAAACCTTTCTTGTTAAACGTTGCTCCTGGCCATGGGCAACAAACGAAGATGTCGTGACCAGCGCGCGAACCACGAAAAAAACGAGCTCAATCACCATGGCCGTGAAGAAGTTAACATAAACTCAAACAAAAACAAATAACAAACACTTCTGTTTAGTATCCATACCGTCATATCTTGATGGATTATTATGATAAGATGCACAATGCGAGCCGATAAAAAGCTTATGATTCGTAAATATTAACGGACACGTTCGTATTCTTCAATATGCTAATCGTTTAAAAAAAACTGAGAAAAAAGACTGAATCTTTATGTGAACTGGCTGCATTTTGTATCAGGTGTACAGAGCTTTGACGGTCATGATTTGATTTAGCCGAAATTGACAAAAAATACACATAAATCCGAGCATATTTCGTCACACGTAGGCTTGGAGGGAGGAGAAAGCCACTATTTTTGCAGAAATGTAATTATATAGGGGACACTCCCTGGTAGTCGACGTGTCTACGGTATTTGCTATAGTGGGTAGTGCCCGGTTTAAAAAAAAACCTATTTGCTCTTCATGGCATCGATAGTAATAGGCTCTCTGTTCATGCATTTTCTGTATTTTGCCTAAGCTGAAACACCTCCTTTCATGATGAAAATTGTAAATTTGGTTCTCTTTTAGTCCGTGTGCTCTTTCAGATCATGGATGGGCAGTATAAACTCTACATGGTCGCAGAAATCGAAATTATTGCTTGAAATACAGGGTTGTTAAAACTCTGAAAAACAAGAAAATTATTCGGCCACTTAAAATAATGAATGCTCTGTATGTTGCCATATGGTTGTCGCATGTTATTTGCAGATTCCTTAGAACTTAAAGATTTAGAGTTTAAAGACTTAACGTAAAATGAGATATTTTACATAAATGGTGAATGTTTATTAGTGGAATGGTACACAGTTACATGAAGAGAAAGATGGATTTTCCCATTCCAATGCGGCCTCTTTTTAGAAGATTTTGATTACACCATTTACGATTAGGTTATGATTAAGGTTTAATTTTTGTAGATGTAATTTAATGAACACCAAATCATGCAATGGAACAAAACGTATAGTAGGCCTACAAAGTGAACGCATTTCATTGCACCCTCAGCAAAATGGTATAATTTTTATTCCATATTACGTGTATGATCATAATCAGCCAATTCAATGACCGGAATTTAGTGTACTGTCTTGATGGATTTTGATATAGCTAAACTGAATAAATTAACTTCTGGCACATACGTCTGTGAATCTTCGTTTCCCCTGATCTTCGTTTCTTCATTGCCAGGTTGGTTCGCACAAAAAAATACAGTTATTTGAAAGCAAAGAGAATATCGTTAAAACATTGAGTCGTAATCCCCCAATCTTTGGTAAGTGAAAGGATTATTATAAGACGGGCATATGTATTATGCTGGAAATTCGTTTTATATTTACCATATGACCCAAAACAATTAGTTAAATTTTCAATATGTTGTGATGCCATTTATGCCATTTAACGTTTTATAAAACATAGTAAATAGTTTTATTGTGGTAGAAAGAACGTGTGTACGGCATAATTGCTTCAAGTGTTCAACATTAGCTACAGGGACCCAGGAACACTCTATGTTTTGTTGAGCCGAGACTGCCAATAATCCGGCACAATTTAGAATTAATATCCTTTTGTATGTGGACCAAAACATGCACGGATATATAAGTTGTCCAGAACTTGTCCACTTGTCAAAAACTTGTATTTCGTATAAAAAAACCCACAGTTAATAGAATAGATGGTTTAAGTTTTATTAGACTAAAAATGCAAATCATTAGCTATGTTACCAAACGTTTATGCAAAATATGGTCATTCATCATCTCATGCAAGGGTATTGTATTTTAGTCAAATTAAAGGAATAACAATTTTTATGGTATGAACATGACCCTAGAAATTATTCTAGAAGTGTACCAACAGTGACGTTTAACTGGTATTACGATGTACATTTTTTAGAAATTGAAGATTTCTTTACGCCGGAAGAGTGCGAACTTGTCATTGACTTGGCCAAAGCGAAAGGAATGAAGAAAATCCCAGCTTTTAAAGGCGTTGAAACAATGTTCAAAGATGAGATCCACGAGACGTTCAAAATGTGGAATTTAAATGGCGACGAATTTGTTGATGCAAATGAGGTGAGAAATCGTTGAGCAAGGAAAGTGGAAGAAAACGATTCTCGATTTATTAATCTTTGTTAGCAAGATAAATGATTAGCATAGCATAATTGATGTTTTTGGTCGACGAGGAAAGCAAGTTCTGCGTCAAATTTCCGACACAAGTGTCAGCAATTTTAAATAATCATGTCTTTCGGAATTTCTCCCACTAACACTAACATCGTGGCTGCGCCCTGGAGGGACGTGTTTTGATTTATTCTAAAGAACTAGAAAATACATGCATGCAGAAACCATCGCCTTACTGACAAAACATTATGTTTTCTGAATATGAAGAATTGAAAATAGTTGTCATGGTAACACGCGATAATTTTAAGAATAGTTTTAAAACTGGTTTTTAAATTGAAAAATCCCCCCAAAAGTATCACTTTTAATAACAAAATTATCAATTTCCCAAACATATATATGTTAGGTATGTTATTATACGTAATATAAGCTTCACTTTAATGTAAAATTCAACCACAAACGCTTCGCAAAACGTTTTAAGATGTTCTTAAAACTAAACGGCCTTTTATCGAGTTATCGGTAAACATTGAGTTTGAAATAAGCTGATTTCAAATTCTCGCATGAAAATAACTTTGCTTTCCTCTTTATTTAAATACTTTAATATACAAAAGAAAAGGTAATTAATAAAACTACACTGAAATTATATGCTGTCTTTTTTCACTTATAGACGCAATGATAGATTAATTTAGTTCGATATTCGCCGTATCGCCCACCACTGTCAGTTATAAATATATCAATTATAAAACAAACAACACATCAATATTTAAAACAGACTTACCTTCGTTAACGTCGGGGACTTTGCTGTATTGTTTTAGACGTTTTTAGACGTTTTTGGCTCTCAGAAAGGTTTTGAAATTTACAAAATCTTGCTAAATTACAACTTGCAAGAAATGTTTGTTATTTCGCTCATTCGCTGTCGTCAATGCAGTCATTATAATGCAAATCTCAAATTTGACCAATCAGTGTTCACTATTCAAGACAGTCCGCTACATATTTTGAGATCAGTGAGGATGACCACCCATGAACCATGAACCATGAGCCATGCGCCCACGATATTTGATGAACTTTAGACTTCGCTAGTGCTTTCCTTTCCCCGCGGGTGTAAATAGCCGGGCGGAATTAGTACCCTTGCACGACGCTTCGCGCCGCCGGCTCGGGGATGAAATGCAAGAAATACTAGTGAATAATAATATTTTAATATATTAATATTTTTCTATTTCTCGTTAAAGAATCACAGTCAACCGAGATGCATTGCGCGCTAACATGTTTTCATTGTTTTGTATTTCGCCATTTTGTTAGCCAGTTTATTGACGAAATATTGACATCCGAAACGCATCCTTCGGCATTATTCTTAGACAATGTCATATTTTCTATAGTCGGAATATGTTAATAGATCATTGATTGAATTAGGATTTAGGATTTCTTCAAAGCACCAGGGGTAAATGTATTAAAGTTTTTTATTTATAATAAAGCTAAGGAATTTTTTCAAGCTTGCCCTGTGTGGATATACTCTCAAAGTAATATCACAAGCATCATATTCACCTGAGTACATTACACCAACACAGAAAAAATTAATGCATATCATTTTTATTGTCTGATTATTTTCGAAGACAACACTATTTTTTGCTCCCCGTATTTGTAAACATTCACATAGTGCGCAATGCATCTTGGTTGACTGTGATTTTTTAAGAGTTACTTTGTATTTCGTCCCGTCTGGATAGGAGATAATTTATGTTTCTTCTATTTTACCTTCTGTTCATCTATCAACCAACCCTACATGATGTTGTTCAAATTATTTCATCATGGTTGGGAAAATTGCTGCCTCTCGCCAATTACCCCCTCCCTTGGACAACGACGTACATGCTAGTATTACGTAGAAAAGCAAAAGTAGTCATAATATACTATTTACGTGATATATATTCTGATCATTTTTCACAGTAGAGTAACGGCTAAATACGATTGCTACCTATACTGATTAGGCCTAGTGTAATCGCTTTTCTTCATTCATGCGTCATCCATACACCTGGCACTAAAGTATATTCATTGACATGAATCTCTACTAATTCCATTTGCAGTACACATATCTCCTCAGAAATATATCGCCTGTCGTATGCGATACAGATGATCATTTTCATGTAAAATTACAATTGGGAATATGATAGTTCATTTTCCAGCCATGTATATAATTTTCAAAATTTTCCCGATATCCCTCTCCCAACTATAAGACGGTTCCCAGAATAACCGCGAAATTACCTCATTCTGTACAATCGCTCGATGAGATTTTTCCCTATATACACCTTTTCAGCCCTCTCCCTGTACTGACGAATTCTTAATATAATGCTGAGCATTCATGTTTTATTAATTATACTTTAGGTATCATACGTCTACGGGAAAGCAGGAATATTTGTAAGCGATCAAGATATTTTAGACATGTAAGTTTAGACAAGACACGCTTTTACTGCATGGATAAATTCTATTATATATCTTGGGTATTTTGTGCCCTTTCTTTAGCCCATTAGTTTATGCTTACGTTTACAGAACTAATATCGCCTCTACTGTATAATCTTCACGCTCAAAGGCTTGTACTATTGATGTGCAGTACAATCTACAGGCATGCATGATTTGGCGTCGTACGTCTCACACATCTAGACAAGCGATGAATTTCATATTGACATACATGCAAGTTGCACTCACAAGCGCATGCGGTACAGCACGGATAATCGGCTTCCAGGCGCAGAGTTTCATAAGGGCAGTGCGCTCAAACAACCACAGGGGAAGTGCATGAGCTTTGCATTGTTGCTAATAGACACCAATTAACTCCACAGAGTTCTTTACAAGACCGAATTGAAGGAGCGTAATACTTAACAAATATAAAATATTTTCCGTGTTGATGTACATGCAGTTATATCAACACAAATGGAAATTGGGGGAACGAGAAAATGTGCGGAAACACAACGCCCGGAGAGCGGACCAGTGTAAAACATGATTTGTGAGTAGGTTGAATGTAGTCTAAAAATCTATATCTATATTGGAATTCTACCGCGGCCTCAAATAAGTAGCGACTAGGCCTATTTCACGACCCAAATTCCGTTATTTCACATTTTGCGAGAAGAAAATTGGCAATTCATAATTCACGAAAATACCACCCTCGGCTCCTGTATGAGTATTTCAATTTTTTAGGTTCAAAGATACCAAAGCAGATAATGACGGCGATGGTAAGAGATAAGAATGAATCAATTAATCGAATCAATCAATCAGTCAATCAATTAATTAATTAATCAAACTATATACGTAAAGAAATATAAATAATTTAATGCCGTGCATATAGCAGCAAAAACGCATACATGGAGTACAGGTCGGGACCCCAAAGTGATGAGCGAATTATACTGACCAACGTGCAGTAATGAACGGAATTTGTAACTGGCCAGAGGATGAACTAATTAACCAGATTCAAAGCGCCTGACCAAAACATAGCCATATAATATAAGGAATTTGCATTTGTATACCTTTTTTAGCAATAAATCACGGCTGGGAGATGGCCGTTGCTGATGCGGCCTCTAATTGTCGGGGGGCCTTTGTTTTCAAACTAACCCTAGCCAGTGCCAGCGTTACGCCACTGAGCAATTTTCCGCAGAGCGCATAGTTATCATCTCTTCTTTTCAGAACCGCGCTCAAATTATCATGCAAAATGCAGTTTTCAAACAAAGAAAGGGATGGCTAATTGTCACAGTCCTGCGCCGTTTCTAAATCGCTCCGGCGTGGTGTGAATGTAGTCTTAACCAAAAATCCCTTCAAAATACCCTTGTTCTTTCTTTAGGAAAACTTGACGAAAATGAGTTTGAAAACATAGACAGAGAAAGTACTGAACAGTTCTTCGACAAACATATGGCTGATTCTAAATCATCTAATCTCGAAAATGTGTTTACTCAGCAAACCTGGCTTTGGCACGATGAAGACGAATTACTGGCATACGAAGATCTCTTTGATAATTATCATGAAAGGTATAGAAATAAGAATGCTGGGTAGATGGTGGGTAATCCAAGTGAGCATATATATATATATATATATATATATATATATATATATATATATATATATATATATATATATATATATATATATATATATATATATAATTTGTTTTGTTGTAGTAGATAATAAAGTGCTCAACACTAATACAAAAGTAGAGCAAGATATATTTGCTGACGAATCAAACACAAACTGAATTAATTGCCTGAAGATCGTCTTGAATAAGGCGTGAAACTTGAGTAGCAATAATTAATTTTAAGATATAAATATATATATATATATATATATATATATATATATATATATATATATATATATATATATATATATATATATATATATATATAAAGATAAAATAAACCTGGTTTACTTCATAAGATTAATTCACTACAAACTTGTTTCGTATGACAAGCAATGCTTGCCACACTCATCAGGTGAATTTAAATTCACCTGATGAGTGTGGCAAGCATTACTTGTCATACGAAACAAATTTGTAGTGAATTAATCTTATGAAGTAAACAAGGTTTCTTTTATCTTTATCTATATTAGCTCTATACTTCGGTATATCGAGCACTCTACTCATATATGATTCTAAATACATATTTGGTATATATATATATATATATATATATATATATATATATATATATAATATTGTCATTCACCGTATATGAGCTGTTCTGCAATCTGATTGGTTGAATTACTCGCCGTATATCAGCTCTTATACGGCGAGTGGCGAAAAACAAGATGGCGG